ACGAACGATTATACAATCACTTATCTTACTGTCCTGACATCTCTATCTACACCCTACCCTCTTATCTCCCTCCCACCCTATCATAACTTCTGACTTGTTTATATTCAAAACCCCAAAAGGTGTATTCTATTTAGCGAGTTCAGTGTGGCATCATCACGTGTTGTTTGCCTTGACCCTCCAGACCCCCCGTTTCGATTTGCTGATCCGAATAGGACCTCCCTCATGGGCCAGTTGATCCAGTTTTACCTTTCTGGTTGATCGATCTCACTCGGTCCCCGTCCCTGTGTACATTTTAATCCACGCGCTAATTCAAGCCTTCAGTAGCATGTACAATCTCGCCTCACATGTAAAGCGCCTATGCTCCGATTCGCCCGCTTGCAGATATTAGGCATTGCTTTCAGGAGTCATCACCTTGACTAAACCCGTGTAGGCTGAGCAAACTGTGGACATCTATCTCTGGTCGTATGCTGCATCTCGAGTTAATTTATAGTAAATTTGGCAATATTGTCGAATTTCTCTAACGGTTGTAATTATCCATCTCCGTAGTCATGTAACCGCCAAGCCCCACAATTTTTAGTAGTTTCTTCGAGCAGACTGTATTTATTGAGAGCGTCTTCGCTTGACTTCCGAAGCGAGTCAAGATGGAGGGGCAAGACAAACAAGTGTGATGACGCAACATTAAACTCGCCAAAAAAGGTACAGCTCTCTAGGAGTAAAATAGAAATAAGTCAGAAGTTATGATAGGGTAGAGGAAGGAGATAAGAGGGTATGGAGTAGATATAAGGGCTGGGGAAGAAAAGGAGTGATAGCATAGCCGTTCGGCAGAAGGCTGGTCAAGGGATTAACTTCACTTATCTCTTCGATTGACTGCAGCCTGGTGCTGGCGAGACTCAATGATGATGCCGCTAAAACGTCTGGAAATGTGTAAAGTATACGGTCCAACGATGGGAAAATGGTAACTACCATAACAGAGAATTTCGGACAAGGTGCCTCAACAAGGTTAAATTATTAAAACAAGGTAAGACCATTTGTATACATCAAAACAAGAATGCCACAAAAATAGAACGACATCTTGGTCTTCATATATACAGTAAAGTGGAACCATAAATTCGTATCGTAGTGTATTAAATATTAAATAAAATCTTAGAATCCCACTCGCATAGTATACAAGACCTACTCTAGCAACCAAGATAAATGGATTTAAACATAGCCGAAATTTTTCACAAATTATAAAGCATAAAAGAATAAAATGGTTAGTTAACTTACTAACTACTTTCAATTGACTCTGAAACTCGCTTAACACACTATGCTCGAAAAACCCAAAGATACTCGTGCCAAACTAAGTTATAAAGCACAACTTTGAATAGGATAAAGGTTCAATTCTAATAAGTATAGCTAGTACGTTTTATTATCAAATTTTAATATAACTCTTGGAACTTTGACTACAGAATGTATATCTAGAACTTAGTCAATTGTACCTTGCTTTAGCAGAGATGCTAAAGCCTTTTTGGTCGGAAGTATAACTTAATGAACAAAGGAATTCGCTGTCAGTAAATATAATCAACATATCATAAAGGCAAAAACACACAATATTCTCTATTGGATTGAGTTATGC